CATGATCAAAAGGGTGGCGTGTATTGAAACACACTACATAGACATATGCACATAGACCGGTTGGTATGAGCCAAAATACAGTTTGTTTACATGAATCTTAGATCGAAGATACTAGTGAGCCGAATCACACAACCTGATCACAGCTACGCCATTCGCAGAGACCAGTATTGGCGTGAGCTGCACCATGCAACTAAGACGAACGAATTTCAAAGGCTTTGACAATTGTATTTGCCCAATCGCATCTTAAAGCGGGAGGTGTCGTCACCGGCGCACGTGCAAAAATTGAGTCCCAAGCGACGATAACAACACACGCTAAAAACGCAAAGGCTCCCGAGTAAACGCTTGTTTGTAAACAATGACACGCTATGGTCATCGTCAGGTGACGACTCCCCCGCTTTAAATCAGAATACTGTGTGATTAGTTCTTCCTTCTAGATAAATAGTAATTCCATTAAAAATTTTGAACTTACTAGAACTAATTTTTGGAGGTTAGAACCGGAAATTGGTCAGTCTACGATTTTAGGCACATATGGATAACATGATATGCTCAAAATAACATATACACCTTCTGTTCTGAATCAGATATTGACGAATGTGCTCTGGGTATACACAGTTGTGATGAAGATGCCACGTGTTCAAACGTTGAGGGCTCCTTCGTTTGTCAGTGCAATGAAGGATTCTATGGAGATGGACGATTCTGCCAAGGTATGACGTAATCCTCTAATGGGTAACTCGAAATAAAAATCAAACTGCCGTGAAATCTGCAGCGGTGGTAATCGTATGTCATTAAAGCACCCAGTTATAAAAGAGGGTCGGCAATCAATTGTTTTTATTTTCGTAATAATGTAATTTAAATAAACACAAAATGTATATTCGTAGACATGGGCAAGTGGAAAATGTAAGCAGCTATTTTATTCGTCCGTAATTTGTACAAAGATCTTTTTTGTAAGCATATAAAGCATTGCCCACATTAAATGTCTTAATTCTTACCCAATTTCCAATTTTGATTCTTAAACACAAATTATCACATATATTATAAAAATGTAAAAAGTAAATATAAATTTGCTTTATCTGTAAAGTGTACAAAACCTAGTTCTGTAACCTGTACCAGTTACCCCCGCCCCCTTTGACCCCTCTCATAAAACGTAATCCACTTTTTTTTTTTAGATTTTGATGAATGTGCCGATGGGAGGAATGACTGTTCATTGTATGGCGTCTGTACTAATACCCCAGGCGGGTTCGAGTGTTCGTGTCCGATCGGCTTTGAAGGCGATGGCTACACATGTACAGGTAATTGTGTTTTCTTTATATTGGATATATATATATACTATTATTATACATCTGTCACCGTAACGACATAAGTGCAGCGTGCCGTAATGTTGCGGTATTTTACGGGGTATTTTTCATTCTACCATATTAGGAAATGCGAATTCCAAACATGGTATGATTACGCGCGTAAGCGTCCTATAATAATAAAAACAAACATGGCTGCCACCAGGACTCTACACGAAGAAGTTCGCTGATTCTGTTCTAAACTTTTTGGATTTCGGCATTCCCATGATATCCTTGGGAGGAAGAGATGTATAATAATAAGGTTATTACGAGGATACTGATAAGTATGCACTCAGGCAGTACGCGGTCGCATCGACCTCCGACTGATGCGCGTCGGTCGATACTCCCGCTGTACTGTCTTCGTGCATACTTTGAGTTATCCTAGTAAGAAGCTCATGTAATATCAAGGGTAAAGCAAGTACATTCAACGGCTTGGCACAAATTATACTGGCCTATTTATAAGTTGTTAGTTAGGATAATCTACATAAATTATGTCGCTTTCAGTTTTATCGTTTTAGATGACTAGTCTGACGGGTTTGGACAGTTATCACAACTTAAGATCTTGAATGCTGAAATGACTGAAATAGCATTTTGGAGAACACGATGATAGCTATTGAACACTCTTTTTTAACGCGGATTATTATTATAGCCACTTGCCAAACAAACAAACATCTAAAGCCAACATTGTTTGGTAAGCAGTTGTGCTCTCCGCTAGCCCGTTCCCAAAGTCCCCGCACACATTTTCGACGATCTTGTCATTACCACCCAAACCTTTTCACTACCATACTCCCTTGCCCAAATTTTCGGCACACTTTTCTTACATTCTTTAATGAACCCTAATGAAATGAACCCTAATTATAGAGCCAACAGACAGAATTTGAATCAATTTTTAGTTTTTACACAAAAAAATTTGGCTATTTTTGTCCCAATTTTCTGAATGAATGTGAACTATAAACGGGACTATTTTGTAAATTTTTTATGAAAAGAGGGAACTGGTGGTGAAATGGTTAAAAGAACATAATAATCACACGAGCCGTGTTAACCGGCTTTTATACGCTATTTCTTTTCAGATATTGATGAGTGTTTGAATGTTGGTATATGTGATCCTAAGTCTGATTGTGTCAATATCCACGGAGGGTATCGATGTGACTGCCAAGCCGGGTTCGAAGGAGATGGAAAGGTCCTGTGCAGTGGTAAGCATACGTGTTTTAATCGGTATCACTTTTTGTGGCATTTTTAGCTATTTGCATTGCGATCCATATTTATTTATTTCTTGGATTTCATAAATACAAATACTAAATCTATATCTTGATTGTGTATAAGGTTATTTCTAATTTCCATAAGGTTTTTAAAGCATTGCTACGCTGTGTTCATAATAGTCACATGCAGGACCACTGTGGCGTAGTGTTTTGTATGTTGAATATACTAACAGCAATGGTTTACACTGTTTCAGATAAAAATGAATGTCTGTCTGGAGAGCACACCTGCTGTACCGAATATGGATGCATTTGCATTGATACCTTGGATGGATACACCTGCGGTTGTGACACTGGTTTCGTGGCGGATGGAGACACGTGTAAAGGTAAGAATCCGGCCAATATGCCACCCTGGTAACATGGTAATATACTATAAAAAATACGGATAATGCATTGATGACATTGATACTAAGTTAAGAAACGTAAGATAAACCGCAATGACAGTGCTAGCTTGAGAGGTCGGTGCGCCGCGGTACTGCTTTATTCGCAAAACTTCTTTATCAATTCTACTCAATACATCTCAATTCACAACATCGATAAAAAGTAAACGTAGATCACAATATCGAACGCCCTCACACAAACCGATATTGGTAAACGCAAATATTTCCCTAAAGAATATCTTCACAAAAATATTTAAGACAACTTTTTTTTGTATCAGATATTGACGAGTGTTTGACCAACCCATGTATTGCTAACTCGGAGTGTTTAAACACCCTCGGATCATATACGTGTCACTGTCTACATGGTTATGATAGACGTTATGGTCTATGTCTGAGTAAGTATTCAACTAACTTTACCTCAATAATTTAACATGATTGCGTGGCAGGGATTGTGTACGTCAAAACGCACCAGAAACCAGAAAGAATTAACAAATCGCTAATTCGAAAAGATGATCAACAGATAAATGCAATCAACTCTGGGGTAATATACGTTATTCGGAATGTTATGTCAGTGTATGTTATGTTATTGTATATGATGAGTTACTAATTACCATTATTTATTTATTTATTTATTTATTTATTTATTTATTTATTTATTTATTTATTTATTTATTTATTTATTTATTTATTTATTTATTTATTTATTTATTTATTTATTTATTTATTTATTTATTTATTTATTCATTGATTGATTGATTGATTGATTGATTGTTTCCCCTAAAATTTGTTCCTTGTTTTCATTGTTAATAGTGTATTGCCCTTCTAAAATTCTTCTGAAATTCATTCCACCCTACACTGGATTACCCCTCGCAACAATACATGGCCCAGCACGCCAAACAACACTACTCTATACACTACACTACATTAAACAAAAGAAGAACATTTTCATTATATTGTTTTTACATAAGTATTGAAGCAGCAATGATGTTTCAAACGTCTGCACCAAATCACTGACAATTTTGGTTTTGTCTAAGCACTTGGTCCACGAGTAGAATGTTACACACCCACAGTCACATACTTGAATCACTTGAATGGCGGTTTTATGACTGAGACTCTTTGGAGAAAGATACAGCGTTTAAACATGGACCTTCTATTCGTCATATAGAGCACTGACATACTGACAAAATCAATAGTCATGTAAAAAGTGTAACAAAGTACAATAGACATAACAGTTTATATAGGACGAAGTACATTTATACATAATACTTTGGTCAGTGTATACAGTGATTCACCAATTAAATGTGCTGCATGAGAAGGAATGAAATTAATTTTAAAAAAAGTAAAACACTCTGAACAAATCAATTACAGCACTGATGCGTATGACAAGAGTAATGACACGCAACGTCTTGTAACAAAATGTAGTTGAGTAGCTCACAGCAATATTGTTTGTTCCGAGTAACTATCTGTAGGTATTAACTAGTCTTGTATCTGTTTAGTCAAACAAAAAGAGCAGCGATATTGGGGGAAAGAGCTAAATTACTGCTACAGTATATAGTGTAGCACAGTGGAGGATGTTGGGTAATTGTTACCTTGAAATATGTGGACCTATTGTACGATTCTCTCGTGATGCCGCTTATATATTTCCGAAAGCTTAATGTAAAATGTCTTTTCTGTAGATATCAACGAGTGTGAATTCGGTTTAGATAATTGCAACCGAGAAAGGTCGATGTGTATCGATGAGGACGGGTCTTACAGATGTGAGTGCAAGAGTGGTTATGAATTTTTGCCAGGAAGCAATGTGTGCACAGGTGAGTATAGTATGCAGTTACGTAATACAACGTAATTACCGGGCATAGTATAACACGAGTTTTTGTGCAGCAGGAAGTTAATACCTGGTTGGCTAAGAGTTTAATTCAATTAATTCATATTATTATAAATGTTGATGTACTGATTACGAACATAATTAACATTTAATTGGCGGGGGTCTGTAGGAATAATTATTTTAGTAATGTTTTTTTTTTATTTTCAATGAAATTTGCCGACTGGCGGCCCTCTACGTAACAAATTACTAGTTTTGAACATTTAAATTAACTGTTTCCTAAGCATGCCTGTGTCGATTTCATTGAGACATGGTATGAACGTCACTCATGGTGGGTTACTGGTGCAAGTTATTTTGTTTCGTGATTTGATTTAAAATGACTGAGCATCGGTAATATTGGTGTTATTTTCTTGTGTTCATAATCATTTTTCTGTCATGCTTTGACCAATGTTGCTGAAAGTAGTAAATAGACAATATATATGTATACATTGATTTTGTATTTTTGTTTCAATGTCCTTCAGCAGACTAGTGCATATTTTCGTCCTGCAGAATATTACAAACGAATAGAATTAACCGTTTCTCATGCATGCTGGAATCAATTTCATTCAAACATAGTGTACGCATTACGCATAATGGGTTACGGATGCACGTACGTTTATTTATGAATTAATTACAAACTGGTTACCATGTTAGTCTTATTTTCACGTGTCATTTCACCATTTCTCTGACATGTTAGTATGAACAACACATGTTTTGTTATTTGATTCAAAGTATTAAATTAAATATGTGTATATTATACAGTTGTGTTCGATGTAAGCATAATCGTATTTCTATGAGGTGTCACTGTGCCGGAACATCACCTAGAATAGGTGCCACTTGAATGAACCCCATGATGCGAACCTGCTGAATACTTTATCCAGCATGTATTTATAAATTATCTACAACTTTCATTGTTTATAATTAACATAGGCACTTACATTTTAACGGAAACTATGTCATAGACAATGCATTTTTCATTTACTTGTATATATCAATTCGTATATCTCAAAGGACTCGTATCACATATAACATACAATACATGTTTACTTCTGCAGAGAAAGACAGATGTGATGGTCAGTTGGTTTGTGGTGTGAATTCATTCTGCACCTTGGACTACAAAGAAAATCCAGTTTGTATGTGTAAATCCGGCTACGAGTACGACGGAAATACCTGTAAAGGTAAATAAATTAATTCCCAGCAGAGCTAATATAGTGTAAATAAATCTGGTATAATACTGATTGTTTTAATAATTAGGTTTATACAAATTCGTAAATGGATTTTGCTGCATCTGTTGACCCCTTTTAATCCAATTTGTCATAGGCATTATTTCCAGATGCTTGTAATTGTTCTTTCTACTACATGCGAGATCTGTCTTGTTATGAAATTACGTCCCTCTTTTGATTTTTTAAATGTATATGTATATATATATTGGCTAACAACATTTATTTTATTTTAATTGGAGCCTGCGAATGCCCATTTGTTGCCTTGGTTAGGCTTGAAATAAAAACAAAAGAATAAATGAAAAGACTATATAATTATATTTATTTGGCGTGCTGTATTCTTCAAAAGTATCCCCTTCTTGATATAGATAGTATTTAGGAAGATGACGACCCAGGTTTATTGCATGTGGCTAATGTAAATATACGGATTGGGTTACTTATTATGCTAATTTATTTTCTACTCAGATATTGATGAATGTGAAGTGGATCTATTTCCATGCAGTGACCCGCTGGCAACATGCAGGAACCTTCCTGGGGAGTATGAGTGCGTTTGCCCAGCTGGCTACGAGACAGTAGCACAGTCACTCTGTCAAGGATGGTGTGCATTATTATTTGATACCGAACTGCATCACTGAGTAAATTATTTGATTTGATTTAATATTGCTAGATTTGAATTATTCGACTTTGTTTTGTGGTGTTATGTGATGTGACCTGGTCACTGTGATGCGATGCGCTGATTCGCAATGCGATTCTAATGATACGACATGACATGATATGATGCAGTAATGCGTAGTGTTTTTTTCTGAACAATTGAATCGATCAGATCTGATTGATATAAGTTATGTAGTTTGTTGTGTACTTGACAATGGTGCCATAACACATCACTACGATGCACATGCACATCGTTATGTTGTTTATTGTCCACCATTATGGTGCCATAACAAATCGTTATGATGCGTAACTCACTTATATTTTACGATATAATACATCGGTATGGTGCCATAGTAGATAATTATGATGCCAAATTACTTTATTATGATGCCATGGCGCATCGCTATGATACATAAAACTCTTTCGTGCAGACATTGACGAATGCAAGACAGATGACACTGTGTGCTCCATGATGGCTCGCTGCAAAAACACTGATGGAAGTTACACATGCCATTGTCGATCAGGTTACTATGGAGATGGAATAACATGTACAAGTAAGAATATTTTTTTTTGTTTTACACTCTCAATAAGCTCAATTTTTATTTACG